TATCGCGTTCGGAAAAATTTGGATGACATAAGACGTCACGCGGTCTCGAGAATCAAATTTCTCGTGGAACGAGCGTCAATAATCGCACCGCAAGGTGGTCGCACTTCAAGTTCGTTACATCGAAATTCCACAAGTTCGGTAAGCATCGGCATCACTGGTTGTCACCTGCGCGAATTCGCATTTACATACCCCTCGCCGAACCTCGTCGGATTAGACTCCGGCAATAGCGAGATCTCCGGAGATCTTCTTGGTTTACCTCGAATCGTGACGGTTTGCCTTGAGTTACCGTGCTTTGATCTTCGGCTCCGATAAGTCGCGAAAGGATCCCCTTCCCGTGCCAATTGCTTGTGTAAACTTTCATCGAGTTTCTAGCACGATTGCTCGTAGTCGCGTGCTGCTCGGACGGCGAATCGATCTTGGCACGGTACTTAAAGTCAAACAAGCTTGTACAGATATGTAAATCGCGTTACGCTCTCGAAGTCTTGCCCAACTAGTCGATTAATTTGATGTATTTTAATTCCATTGCCGGTCTCGAGCTGTTCGTAATTGCTCACCAAAGGGCAGTCTATCGCGCGAGAAACTATCTTTTAATCGATCGGATAATTTTATGGATAGAGAGGGGGCAGAAATGTATGCAAGTAAAATCATTTCACGGTCAATCTATCTTGTAAAAATTTTTTAACAAAAATTATTTATGAAAGACTACCTTATATGATATGCAAAAAATACTTGATTAATAGACTTGTTAATAACTTGTATACACAAGCGGAAATTATAATAAATTATATTCGATACAAGATGCGGAATAATCTAGAATCAAATATCTTCATAATAAATCATAATAAATCCAATTTATGGGATAGTTGATAGAGAAAATTGATAGAAGAAAATGTATTCAACGAAAAAGAGAAAGTCTTTGATAGTACTATCGACATTTTGCAACGCAGGAAACAATCCGTCAGATAAGTAATCTTTAAACAGATCAAATCGGTGACGGTTTCCACTCCGCTACCCGCTATGATGGAGCGCTGCCAAAACTTTTGCGACGCGCGCATTTGTAAAATGAAGACAGTCCCCTCCCGTTGAAATTCATCACGCGTGAAAGAGCGGCCCCAGAAAGTAGTCATCGGCAGCAGCTCTCTCGTGTCCTATTAAAATTCGTCAAATTCGCTTCGCGGGCAATTAAAGCTGCAGCGGCCAGCCGCGTCAAATAAATCAGGGATCAATAAATTAGCGGGCGGTTAAAGCTCGGGGGCCGTGACTTTATCTGCGCGGTGGCATCGCGCCGCGCTGCATCGCGTACAGCCCGACCCGACCCGGGAAGGCAGAAACGGAAGCTGGCCCCAATAAAACACTTGCCACCCGACGCTCTTACGTTTACGTCTGCGTTTGCGCCCGTTCCTCCGTACTCTAATCTGCATTTTAAATGTCGACGCTCCCCCTGCAGATAACGCCGCGCACCGGGACTGAAACCCACCGTCCTCGCCACCGACGAATAGCTCTCTTTCTCTATCTCTTCCTTCCTCCTCGTCTCTCGTCAGCAGCCACTTCGTTCTCTGACTCGCCGGATGCGTTGCCACCGGATACCTCGCGAGTACATTCTCGCGCCCGCCGCGAAGATAAAAGTACCTGCCAGAATGAGCTACGGAGATCCCGTTCGTGTACCGTCAGCTATGCCGAGAGCCTGTCCGCGAGCATCGCCAGACGACTTCATTGTTCTCCATACTTTTCGGAGTTCCGCCTTTCCATGGGATATCGGCCCAGTTTGCAGCTCGTCGACGGATTCTTTTTGTTTCAGGGGTAACGAGCTGTGCGGCGGCTTTTCTCATCCGCTTGAAAGCTGGTTTATGGATCGTTGAGGCTTTCCTTTATGGAGCAGTTACCTTAATATGTATTTTTGAATGTGTTTTCGTTACCTCGCGAGAATCAACCATGAGCGAAAAGTGTCGAGGAAGATAATTATGAATCCCAGCATCTTGTGGAATATAAAAAGTGCGTTAAAAGTGCATAATATAAGATATCTAATATCTAATATGGATATTTAAATCTTGAGATTTATAAAAAAAATTTTTAATTATTACCTGTATATTTTTTACTTATTTAGAGAATATCTTAAACTTTATCACGCATTAAAAAACTTCTATCATGCCTTTATAAAAATACCTTTCTTGTCCGCGTTAAGTATAAATATTCGAGAGATTATCTAACATTAAATCTGTATCGTCATGGAGATCAATGGAAATGAAGCTTTGTCAACGACAAATTCCATTGTTGGTAGTTCAAGCTGAAGCAATGTTCGATTTTACGATCCCTTCTCGAATTCAATGGAATAAAAGTTACGACGTACTGCACATATCGTGAAAAGAGCGGTATCGTAGCGATGCAGAAAGAAATGAATCAGGGATTCAACTTGGTCAAATGACCGAATATGATCGCTCGAAGTAAAAAGTTCTTACTGCTTTTCCTTCCCTTCGGTTGTGCAATTGTTTCCACTCGTGTCGGTTTCGTAAACGCGAGAAGAAGGCGACGAAGAACACTGGCAGCTTTATTATAGTTACAGCCTCGGTAAAAGTTTCCTGAAGTTTGAAGACTTGTTGTGCCAACTTCTTTCTTCGTGAAACTTATTCGCCTGTTGATTTTTTAATCAGATAATTTGTAACCGTGTTTCTTGTAATGTAACTTTGTTTTCTTGCAACAAAAACTAAATATTGATTAAATTTTATAACTAATATTTTGTATAAATTTGATAAGAATTATTGATTAAAGTATTGATTATATTGTTTAATACTTGAATATAATTACTGATTAAAAAATTTTTTAAAGAAATAAATACATACTTTTTTAATGCTTATAGTGTATCTCCACTAAAAGATATTAGAAAGAAAAACATTTATGTAATCTTACAAATTGTTCATATATAAAAGAATATAAATACGATGGAGAAGAAAGGGATGACATGCGTCGGTGGGGCTGCCATTTCCGAGCAAAGTGCCAGTAAAGTCAAAGGGACAACGTCACATCCTTTTTAGCAAGATATTCCTCTTTACTTTCTCCTACAGTGACTTTTGTAGACATCGTCATCATACGCGCAAACAATGGTTTTTTGCGAGCGACTGCGTGAATCGCGAAAAAGTGAGACAGCTGGGCGGAAGAATCTTTTGTCTTTGGGGTACACTCGGGGTACTTTCGAGGGGGTCGAAGGAGAAAGGTCCACGCTTCGTCAGCCATTCTTCCTTCACTTATTAAGAATGAATGCGAGCCTTTTGTTTTATATTCAAGGAAAAAATATTACTCTTCTTGGAAAAAAACTAACCGTGGAAAAAAAATTACAGTTATTTTATTTTATATGTGTATATGTGTATTTAATACTATCTTTATTATATCTCCAGTAAGTGCTTTTTACGCTCTCAACTAAAAATACTTAAAAATTTCGCAATATTACATTAAACGATGTTATCATCAAGTATTTTTCTCAAGTAATTTTCTCAAATAGTCTTTAAATTTCTAAATTACTCGTTATTATTCGTTATTAAATACTTTTATCTGGAGTTGCATTTTTCGTTATTTCAAAGCGAAAACTGACAATAAGATATAGCGCTATGCAACAACGCGCATCAAATGCACAGTCTTTTGTCGTTCCATTCTCTCACTTAGTTGTAAACCAACAAAGCTGCAAGTGGCGACAATAGCGACGTCGCACACCGTGGAGGCACTTATATGGCAGACTAGAACAAAGTAGCGTGACACTTCCAGTAACAGAAGCGTCATCGGACAGAGATACGTCGGAATGTCGGCGTGCTGGCGCACTGTCTATCTGTCCTCGGCAGACAATACGAGATCGGAGGACAGACGTGGCCGAACCGCGCCCCTTTCATGTACCACTGATTGATACCCTCGGTCCTGTCGGACGTGGGGATGCGACGGTAATGTCGCCCTCGTTGCTAGTCTCGCGTACGGTCACATTATCAACGCCAGGCCCAAAATGTACCGATTAACTGAGCGGCCGATGCTCAACATTGCCGAAAATGTCGAATCGCGCGTTCACCGTTTCGATGTGTGCCAAAGTATAGATGCTCATATAGGGGATGAAGACATACACCATCGTGTCACATGAGCTCGCGTTTCGCATAATATCACATCTATTATCGGATCAATCGATCGTTCATGATGCCATGACATTAGGTGCATCATCTATTAATGTTGTATATAAAAAAAGGAAAAAAATTACTAAATAAATGCACACACGTATATATGTACGATAGATTTGTTCAACATCCTTTTTCCCTAATATATCGCCTTTTTAAAATAAAAATATTTTCCTAAATATAATATTATGAAATTTTGGAAAGCCGTTTTTTGTACATGATAAAACTTTGACGGTAAGGCACATTTTTTTATTTTATATAAATAACTACGTAATAACATGATATGTTGGAACGATAGCGAAAGTATTTCCGCCCGTCGAACATCGTCATCGAATGACGATCAGTTTTGCCGTGCTTCCGGATTGAACGTGTGATAAATGTCGTATCCTACACATCGAAAGTGCAGCAACGTTTCAAAGGGCTTATCCCGGCGGCATTAAAAGGTCGGACCGGCGCGGATCCGCTGTTGGAGTTATCCGCCGCATCCGCTTCTTGTTAGACTGACATTCGCGAGAGACGATCAAAGGCGACATTCCTTGCAGGCAAGAATCTGTGGAATTGCTTCCCAGACGCAAGCCGTGCGTGACGATTTGGCGAGGAAATTAGCGGGTCGTTGCCTACGTGTCTCCTTGTCATCGGTGTCGCGTCGCTGTCGTACCACGGACATTGCCTGAATTCGCGTGAGTGCCATTTTAATCGCACACAAAGAGCCGGTTATAACGCGAATTACGTCGGGGAGAGACTTATCGATTTAGGCATACACTGATGTAGGAAATGCACAGGCAACTCCACTCAATAAATGTGAATTTAAACAAATTTATGCAATGTTTTATGCAATATTAGCGACTTGTAAAAATATAATACAATTAATTAATACAAGTGAAACACTTATTTAGATATTACTTACAATAGATTATTTCGTATAATATTAAATCCTCTTCAAACAAGTTTCGTGCGCTATTATATTTGTGCACATTTATTTTATATACATGATTATGCGTGTCACAACATTTCTTCGTCTATTTCAAGAATTATATTTGCTGCTTCTATTCTCGATTGTATGACTTTCGTTTGAAAGGTATTAGCGATCACTTCGACTAAAGATTTTGATGTTTCAGTATGTTGGTCACTGAAAAATCAATATAACAGAGATCAAATCTTATTTTAAAATATACAAAAAAATTGACAAAATATTCTAACTATAAGTTTTGAATTACATTATTTTGATTCATTATTAATATGTATAATTATATAATACACTTATATAATACTTGTAAACTGTAATTTCTAAAATATGCAAAATTTTCTATTAATTTTAGCTCCGTAATGTAGCTTTTTGAAAACATAACATATATAGTAATTTCAGTTAATCATAAAAGATTTAACGTACCGTGAAAAATTATTGATTAACGAGCAAATCAAATAACCCCGAATATTGACACCTTTTTGCATAGCTTTCATAACTTGTAATATGTGCTGTTGGAAGTAAATTATTCTATTTATATCCACCATTTCTTCGTTATTCGCAATTTCCCCAATATTAGCGCAAGCGTTTTCAATTATATAAACATCCGGTAGAATGTAATTGTTATCCAACCATTCTAATAATTTACGGAATCCCGACGTTGTAACCTGCAATCGAATCATATAATTATGAAAAAAATTATTTTTACGCATAATACATATATGTGACATATAATGTATGGTCTCTTGTTTCTAATGATTATCTATATAGCTATCTACCTCAGTGCCTGTGTTACATATATTTTCGCTTTCTAAAAGAAATGCAATATCAGCGTCATATTTGAAAGATATCCTATCTCTATCCCATACTTCTGCCGCGCGAATCTTAAATTCCCCGCAAAAATTAATTCCGAGGAAATCGGCGGAATTCTTGATAAGTTGCACTTCTTTGTCCGTGAAATAACGCAGTCGCGAACGAGAGAATCCTTGCAAGAGACTTTTGAAGTTTATTCGATTTTTCATCAGTTTCGAATAGTCGCCGCTTTTGCTGAAAATTGGATGGGTGAGCCAACCATTGTACCATTCGAGACCTCTTCTCTGTCCGTAAATATCGGCTTGTGCATCATCATTTTGCGGTTCCATCCACGTATAAAATTGAATAATTCCAACTTTTCCTATTGCAAGAAAGTGCACATTCGATATATCGTAAAAAGAAAATAAACTTTTAGATTCAAATAAGAAAGAAGTTTACAGCTCGAATGCTTGCAGTTCGAATAATAAGCCTTGTCATTATTATGCATGTTGGTTATACGTACCATTTTGTGACTGGCGAAAATTTTCATTATACATATTATACACTTTCGCGTGCGCTAATAGCATATAATGACCGCAAAGATAATCTGCAATGCCAGATTGATTAATTGCAGCTGTATGCGTACTGCGGTTGGAATACGCCATCAAATTCACCTCGTTTATGGTAACCCAAAATTTCACCTAAAAGCAGAAGAGTTAGAATGAACACATAGAAAAGAGCGATACACATTTAAAAAATTCTAAAATTTTATAAAATATAATAATCTTTTATAATTTTATAGCATGTATGTAAAATTGTGCCTTGTTTTCAAAATTATAAAATTTTTAGAATTATGAAATCAAATTTTCTTTCCTTCATTTATATTTATTATATGTACTTTATCTCCGAAGACTTCAAATATTAATCTAGCATAATCCTCAAACCAGGTTACTAATAAAGGATTCGTGCATCCTCCCATAAGTTGTAAATTGAGCGGTAAATCCCAGTCAAACATGGTAACCATGGGCGTCATACCATTCGCTATAATTTCATTAATAATAATGTTATAGTCTTCTATTGCATCATCGTTAATGAAGTCTGTGAAGCCATGCGGTAAAATTCTTGTCCATGATAAGGACATTTTAAACATTTTAGACTGCAAATGAGTAAACTTCTTAAATGACACCAGAGATCATTATATCGTAATATCCTTGCACAGCAACTTACATTGACAGTTTTTGCAAATGAAATGTCCTGCTTATAATGCGAAATAAAATTTGTACCTTTTGCAACATTATTCATGATACATTTTGATTCTTCACAATGCGATGATTTTCTTTCATCTGTAACGAGACAGTATCTATTTCATCTTAGCGCATTACTTTAGTTTATATAAAAAAATATTTATAATATTTGGAATTTTTTGGCATATTACATATTTTAAATATGCAACTCTTTCTCTGTTAATAAAAAAATAAATCATTAAATAATTGAACATTTCTGAATTTCTGTCTCTTCCTTCCTTTTTTTTAAATATTTAATATTTATTTATTTTAGTATTGATCTAATATCTGATATTATTCTGATCTATCTTTTGAATTTTTATTTTTATTACTTACTATTCACAATAGGCAGTGAAACACCAAACAAGAAATCTTCCGCAAATGTATTTCTAGCTAAAAGATTAGCTTGATAAATTTGTTCTGGAGAAAACTTATATGTCACAATTTCCTTCGACAATTCGGATATTGATTCCTGGGTAAAATATGTTATTATCATACCATAAAAATTCAAAATAATTACATCGATCGAAAACCACATTTTCTATGATTTTATTCACAAGAGAAAAACAGTGTAAAAATAAACTGCTCTTTTATCTGACATATAGTATATAATATATCTAGGAAATAATGTCAGCCTCGCACAACTTTACTGTTTCTATGCGACCGCAAAGTCTTGCGTGGTATTAAATTGTTAAGTAAGTGTCCATTCTTGATACCATGGCATAATGAAGGCAATTATAGCAACCGATAACAGTTACAATTATGATGCAAATGATAAAACTTGCATAAAATCAATAATGTATACGAGTGCATATATTTATACATATAGAAATTTTTACTTAATAATGTTAAATTTAAGACAACTGTTAATATCATATGTTCAAAAAACATAATTAATTTTTGAATATATAATTATTTTTCATCTCTATAAAGAAATGACACATATATATTTCATTTATTTAAAATAACCAATTCTGATAGAATTTTTGGCTAGGATAAACGACGATATTACATATATTATACTATAAACGTATATTTAATAAATATTTAGATGCATGTATATTTTAATAAATATTCAATTTTTTAAAATACTATATATATATATACTATATATTCACTTTTTTAAAATACTATAAATAAAGAAATCAAAATAAAATGTTTTTAATATATAATTAATTAAGAAAGAAAGATATCTATTTTAATTACAAACATAATGTTTATTTTCTATTAAGCATTATATTTATTCCAAGATTTTTTGGTAATTTAACACCCTCTTTGTATTCGTGAGATGTGTTAACCATCATATCAGCATTGCTTTGTTTGATAATTGGATTCATGTGCATCATGTAATCCCAAATGGATTGCCCTTCGCCTATAAATTACTAATCACAATTCGAAATAGTATTGATTATGTATTATCGAAACATATGCAGCAATTTAGAAGGAGTAAAAATGCATAAAAAATTCTTTTTTATCTTTGATATTTTTGATACGTTAATAACTAACTAAAGAATGTACAGATATTTTATCGACTAGTCTATATATATTTTACGATAATTTAATTACATGTATATTTCTTTATGTCGTAATAATATGTTACTCAAAACAATATAATTTCACATATTGATGATTGAATATTTTTAAGAATTAATAATTAAGAATATGCATGTATATTACTGCAAGTATACTATTGACATTCCATATTTTTCAATTCGATAAATAGTAGCGAAATAGAAATTTTCCGAAAATTTGTGTATAGCATGAGTTTGTAATTTTAATGCGAGTATGTGAAAAATCGTATTTGACAAATTATTACATTCCTGTATAATATAAATTGTGAAACTATTTTGCAAGCATATTTCATTAAGATATTAAACGTCAAAAAAATACACTAAATGTTCTTCACAATTATATTGTGTATAATCTTATGTATATAAAATATAAATAATTTTGCACATATAAACATTTTATGGATAAAAATGCAACTGAAATATCCTGAAAGGTATTATCAGAAAAAAACGCAATCATTTATATATAATTTAGATAGTAATTTGAATGATAATGATGAAGTAACATACGGTAATATCTTTTTACCTTTACGGTTGAGTCATGTAATAATGAGTTATACTAGTTATATATGTATACCTAAACTATTATTGTAAATATTGAAAAAACTGCAGTATTATGAGCATAAAATATAAATGTATATTTTAATAAATATTCATAAATAGTAACTTAATCAATATAATTCTTAAAAAATGTAATTTTTATTAAATGAATAATTTAAAAAATGGAAAAATATTTATTATTATATATTTGTAAGATAATACATGTATGTAAGTACAAACATACATATATAGATCATTAATTATGATGTACTAATAAAAACAGTAAGAAAAATAATTATATTTTTATAGTTTATCGAATTAACGCTAAAATTATATTCGACTTTTATCATAGTAATGGAAACTCTAAACTTTTATGGAAATTTTAATTGAAAGTTTTTATTAAATTCATTCATGTCATACCCGTATTACATTCCATGCGTCCTCACATTGGTATGCCGAAGTAGCTACCCCGAAATAGAAACTGTCTGAAAATTTATTACTGGCAAGAAAACTTTTGTATACTTTATTTCAGTTGAAGAAAAATAATATTCAAATATTACATATGGTTTATTATTTTAGATAATATAATATTTTTGGAATATGTCGCTAATGTAACTTATAATCACACTCAGAATAACAAGCAAAGAAAAAGCAAGAATTTTGCTAAAAAAAATTTTTGAGTGCTGTTAAAAGAAATATAAATACATTATAAATAATATAATGTCATAACAAAATGTGTAATATGAAAAACCTTTTAATATTTATTTAATAAATGTTTATCTGATAATGTTGAATGTGCAGATAAATTTTCTATAATAGTCTGTAAATCTAATTTAATATATATTAGGCCAAGTCCGATATATATGTGAATAAAAGAAAATTGGAGTACTTTGTGATATAGTCAACAGCTCTTTCTTTCTTAATAATAAAATACACATAAAATAGTTTTTAAAAAATATACATATATAATATATGAAATTATATATATTATATTGAAGTAATAATATATAAATAACACATTAAAAAACGTTAAATTTTATTTTATCTTCAATATTATGGATAATAAGCGTATATATTGCTGTAGTTTTTCCAGCCGCACGGTTTTATATTTGAAAAACATTTGCCTTTTTTTCCGCATCATTACATTCGACTATTACAGTTCATTGAACATCTTTTGCCGTCGACCATTTCCCACTTTTACAGTATTGATCTTAGCTACGATCTTTCCTAAAAGTATGAAGATAAATTTATTGCACTGCTAGAGTTTTCCCTTATTTAAATATCTGTTGAATTATTGAAATTTTTACATTTGTGACGCATACTTTCCCTAAATGATTTACGGAAACTGACAATATTAGAAAATTAAATAATTTATTAACTATAAGAATGATTCGGGGCTACAAATCGAAAGTATAAATGCTTTTAAAATATACATGGGAAAGAATTTTGTATATAAAAAATTAATAATATATATTTTTAATTATGTTAGATGCATAAATTATATTAATTTATTAATCAATTAATTTCAGAAGTACAATGTTGATATCTTTTGCGAGGTACAGCAAAACAACGAAGAATTTTCTTTGATCGTCGATAATGCCATAGAGTCTGGATTTTATTAATAGCCTTTATGTTTTTCGATTTATTCAGAGTGACATTAAATAATTTCTTCAAAACGGATGATGCAATAGATGTATCTATATTGTAAGTTGTTAATTAATTAAATAATTGTAAGTTGTTAATTAATTAAATAATTATGTAATAATTAAATTTCCTTTAAATTAATTTTCATTAATTAATTTTCATGATGAATATTTAATCATAAATGATTTTTAATCGCATATTATAGTATTTACGATAATCAAGTCATTTTTTCTAATACATCTGCGATTTATGAAGCCACTTTACATACGGATATGGCGAAAATACAGCAGACAGAATAATGCAGGATACCAGCCATCTCGTAGTGCATAGCTGTACCTCATACATCACCATCTGAAGCATCCGGTATTACTCTCATATGCTGTGAGCATGCAATATCCTGCCATGTTACAACTAAGTAAATACTATCGAATGCTTTTGCGAATCAAAAGATTAAAGACTGAAGCTGATCGAAGGCAATCATTCGTATGTCATTAATTAATTTTTCGAGATTGAATTAATATAAGATCCGTCAGAAATACATATGTGATTAAAGGATAATCGTATATATACACATATATATTGATATACATGTGTTCAAATTGCATAATTCTTTTACGATACACATAAAAAGTCATTTATTAAATGAATTTTTTAAGTTTTTTAATATTCTCTATAAATATTTATATAGCTGATTATACAATTATTATTATTATTATTATTAGTATTATTATTATTATTATCACTATACAAAACTTTCTACTATAAAGTAAAGAGAATATTGACACACAATAATGTTGATTATTTATTCCATTGTAAAATAAAGCAATAACTTACATGATAATGCAACGGTCCTGATCCTTTAATATCTTCTTTCACGAGAATTTAACATATCACACCATTCTTTACGTTCTTGGATATGTCTTCCCTAAGATTATAATATGCTGGACCTATGCATGTATAATAATAATGAAAGAGTGTTCTTGACAATTTCTATGTTTCATTTATTTTACTTTATACCTGGTACATGAAAATCGTCTTTTAGTGTCGTCGGAAACCGACAGACGCGTGATCCAAAAGGTGGAATTAATTGTCGGCAAAGAAAATCGCATTTATCACGATTAGTCTTGAAGGCTGATAAGGCTTCGTAAGCACCTAGATCCGGTACATCATCTTATGAAAATTAAACGAGTATAGTCTTTAATCTAAAGCAAGTTAATACTGATATGCTATTTTATTATACATTTTTATAAGGTCTAAAATCATTTAAATTTTTATATTTCTAGGTAGGTATTAACTCTGTCCGATAAAATTAAAATATTTGAAAATAATAAGACAGGTATTCCGCTTTTCTTTGTAATTTAATCATTTAGGATGGATGCCGATTCGACACAAATTTAAGCACCGATGTTTCCGGCAATCCACAATTCGTATTACAGAGACAGAGACACCAAGCAGGGATTGGCTCGAATTTCCGGCTCAGCGAGCCGGAAGTGATTTCTCTGGGTAACATTGGCCACGCGCCTCTACATGGAAATGACCTGCAGAGCACAGCAAAATGTCATTTCCGGCGTACAGTCACTACTCTTCCCTACGTTATATAAATATAAGACTTCGGATTAGTATGCCGCTGTTGTCATTGACTAGAGATCCAAAGGAAAGATACTCGCTTCACTCGCTCACAGTTATCATGAAATGATTCAATTATTCAGCAAAAGACTAACATGACTAACTGTATCAGTAACTATATTAGTTTATCAACGCAGCATTAATGTAGTTATATCGAACTGAGCTTCCAGTTTTGCACCGTTTCAATTATTTAAGTGAGACCCCAGCTAATCGAACCCACACGAACTCGTCGAACACAGCGGAATCAGCAGCAAGTCGTTCGACATTGACGGTCCTATCCTGGTCT